AATCTAGTTCTTATTGCCCATGGTCCTATGCTTTAACAGCTGTCAGGTGACCTCTGTTCATGTCTATGGTGGATGAAAGCTCCAATAGGACAAAACCATTGTCTGTGCATTTCTTCCCCATTAGCTGAGTGGCATTGGGATCTATGGGCAGATGTTTCCTCAAAAAGATGGCAGATGACTTTGGGAGTATAGGGATTATGGACAGAGTCCAGATGTGGACCCACCATGGTTGTTTGGAACTACAGCTGAACCTACTTAGGACAGGAAAGCCATTTGGAATATTAATATATGGGATGCTGTTCAGTACAGGTTTGTGTGTACTTCCTGAGCCACCATACATTGACCTAAAATCCTAGATCTTAATGCCCATGGTCATATGTTTTGACAGGTGGCCTCTGTTTGTGTCTGTGCTGGATGAAAGTTCCTATAGGACAAAACCAATGTCAGTACTTTTCTTCCCCAATTGTTGAGTGCCATCGGGACCTTTGGCTTTGTCTCCCTCTCCGGGGTCATGTCTAATGCTTACCTTTAAGGTTCCCTCAACATCTAAAAATGTCCCCCAAGTGGATCTTCACAGCGTACCTTCCCAAAAACAGAGAAAACCTCCCTCCTTTCTCATGTTTCAACCTCTGGCTGGCTTTGGGCGCACAGGGAGGTACCTCACCTAGCGTTCCATAAGATATCACTGACGAGTCCATGTTTTCTGTTAGATCAAATTTTAGACACTCACATTGTTTGCAAATGGCCAAGACTTGGGGGGCGTGGCTTGGCACGGAAGAAGATGGACGCTTAGCTCCAGAGCTCCGTCTCCAGATATCCCGAACGAAGCTACAATCTCCTGCTATCGACTACCATGGGGAAAATAGGCAGACAGGACGGAAGGTCTAGATCTCCTGGGTCGGATGGGACCCAGCTGAGCCGTCAATTCCCCGAGATGTTCCGAGATGAAATCTGTCCGCGAGGTCTTCCAATATGGCGCTGACCGCGACTAACCCGCCTGCTACTGGGCCTCAGGCCTCCATGGATCCGGGCTTGATGTCGTCCTACATCCAACAACTACCTACCAGGTCAGATTTAACACTACTCGCAGGGGACATCAAACAGGCCCTGAGCTCGGCGGTCTCCGAACTCAGACAGGACATTAGGGACATAGGCCGCAGGATGCAAGCGGCGGAACAGGCCGGAGCGGAGAGGGACGCTGCCATCCACTCTCTGAGGGCCCATCAGGAGACCACCACCCGCTCGCTGATCGACATGCGCCGCCATATGGAAGACCTCGACAATAGGGGACGGCGCGCCAATATCCGAGTCCGGGGGGTCCCAGAAACGGTCCTACCTGACTTTGTCCAGACGGCCCTAACTGACATCTTCAATGATTTATTAGACCGCCCGCCTGGATCGCCCATAGACTTTGTGAGAGCGCACAGGGCGCTGCGGCCCCGCAACTTGCAGGAGGACGTTCCGAGAGACATCATCTGCTGCCTACAGAACTTCCCGCTAAAGGAAGAAATCTTACAACGGGCCCGGGCCAAAGCAGTGGTCAAGTATGATGGCTCGGAGGTGAAGCTGTTCCAAGATCTATCCAACATCACCCTACAACAACGTAGAGCCTTACACCCGCTATTGGACCACTTGCGCAAACTTGGCATTGCATACCGCTGGAAGTTCCCATTCTGCCTGTCCGCACTGCACAGAGGCAGAACCGTTACCTTACGCCTACCTGAAGAAGCGGGAGACTTCTGTTCGCAACTGAATATCCCGGCCGTTCAAGTCCAAGATTGGTATGAAGACCTCAGGATGCACGCTGCCAACGACAGGCCCAGCCACAGACGAGAGCGGTCACCATCGAACCCAGGCCCCACCAGAAGCCCCGGGACCAGCGAGAAGGAACGCCGCCGGAGAGGCCCCAATACCCCATCTTATCGTACCGATCACCGGCTGGACGAAGTGGCGGATTGTGACCGGGCTGGCGAACAACCCCCCCGCTGAATTCACACACAGATGCACTCATCCCTAGGCACGGTACCGAATGGCCCGAGACTGTTTTCCCGGAGTTATCCCTGTTATCTTAGTTGGATGTTGGGACCCTTGCCTCGGACGGTTGCGGTGCTGGAGCACCACTCCAGGGGGCCCCGTGATGTGCACTTAGATAGATAACTGACAATGTTGGAGTCATTCGGCTTTCATTCCTCCATTTATAATTTCTACGTGTCTTGTCGTTACAGGATCCTCACTGGCAGGCGGGGGCCTGAACCGTCCTTCGGGAAGGTGACATCTCGGAGCGGCGGAGATGGGGGACGGTGGTTTGGAGGTCTGCCAGCCAGGGGGGATCCGGCCAGTACGGTAACACACAAATACCTCTGCTGATACAGGCGTTTAGACCTCTATGTTCCATACTCCAGTTAACGTGAGCGCAGTTCTATGGACCCTCACAGGTGGATATGAACACCAAGGGAGTTTACACTGTTTATATGCTGTTTCATAGTGTTTATATGGTTATATGGTTTATATCGGTTATAACGTTTATATTGATTGCTGCTTTCGGGGAAGGTCGAGGTATTTAGGGCACACATATCACTGATGTCACCCCACTGCTACCCTACTCCTATACCAAAGTATTACGAGGGCATAGGGAGTGCATCTTGGAGAGTGAACCTTTCACCCACCCCATGAAAATATGCTCCGTAATATGGCAGGATTTAGGAATGTCCCTAAGGGTTTCTCGGGTATTGGAGAGGCGACCAAATGGAGTTATTTGTACCAATCTTGACCCATCTCGTCCAGAAAGCCAATCACTTACCCCCAGAGTGAGGCGACAGTGAGGAGCACTAGGTGCTGCCCACAATATCGTTTTTTGTACTTGTATGAGAAAATGATAATAAAACTTGTTGGAAAGTAAAAATTAAAGAATCATAAAAAAATAAAGAAAGAAGCAAATGGCCAAGAGTTTGCTCACACCTTACCATCACAGTTATATCGTCTTGGTAAGCACCACATTCCAAAACCATGGGCATTAATATGGAGTTGGCACTCCTGTGAAAGACTCCAGTAACACTGGTTACAGGAAGATTGGTATTCTATACATGGCTGGTTTTAGGGTTACAGGAAGTGTTGGTGTTAGGGTTACAGGAAGTGTTGGTATTCTATACATGGCTGGTTTTAGGGTTACAGGAAGTGTTGGTGTTAGGGTTACAGGAAGTGTTGGTGTTCTATACATAGCTGGTTTTAGGGTTACAGGAAGTGTTGGTGTTAGGGTTACAGGAAGTGTTGGTGTTCTATACATGGCTGGTTTTAGGGTTACAGGAAGTGTTGATGTTCTATGCTTGGCTGGTTTTAGGGTTGCAGGAATTGTTGGTGTTTTATACATGGCTGGTTTTAGGGTTACAGGAAGTGTTGGTGTTAGGGTTACAGGAAGTGTTGGTGTTTTATACATGGCTGGTTTTAGGGTTACTGGAAGTCTTGGTGTTAGGGTTACAGGAAGTGTTGTTGTTCTATACATGGCTGGTTTTAGGGTTACAGGAAGTGTTGGTGTTAGGGTTACAGGAAGTGTTGGTGTTCTATACATGGTTGGTTTTAGGGTTGCAGTAAGGGTTGGTGTTAGGGTTACAGGAAAGATGAAAGTAGTCACTCGCCCTCCATAAGTATTAAAGTCAATGCTGTTTATTGACTGTGATGACACACATCTCCTTAGCAACGTTTCGGGACCGTGCGGCCCCTTCCTCTGTTTGCCTGAGTAAGGGGCCGCACGGTCCTGAAACGTTGCTAAGGAGATGTGTGTCATCACAGTCAATAGACAGCATTGACTTTAATACTTATGGAGTGCGAGTGACTACTTTCATCTATCTACATTTTGCGGAGGCATCCGTTGTCACCACCGCACCCACCCAGTTGAATTTAGGTTTTGTCCGGTCAGGAGTGCGATAGGACATGAGGATTAGGGTTACAGGAAAGACTCCAGGCTAGCAGGCTTTCTCCAAGATTTTGGAGGGTGTCTGTGGGAGTTTGTGCCCATTCAGCCAAAAGACTATTCGTGAGGTCAGGTGTTGGATGAAAGGACCTGACTCACGATTGGCATTTCAGGTGTTCAGTAGGGTTGAGGTCAGGACGCAATG